CTTAATTTTCATAAGATTGCTATACTGAAATTAAATACCACTAATACATCACTTTATAAAGTAAGTATTCAATTCATGCTAGCTATTGATATATAATTACCTTTTCAGCTCTAACACTTCTGTTTCCATAGTTCAATAGTTCTCGGGAGAGAAGTGAATAAAGAAACAGCAGGTATGTCTGAGCACTTAAACCATAATCGTTTGTGCATAAATCTAACTATTTGAGATTAGAGAGATGAAAGGCCATTCTCCCAGAATGAGACTGAGCAAATCTTATTCTTCTGAGTAACTAATTGTACAATTATACATGCTCTTATTCTCAGTGTACAATCCCCTCATTTCATAGGCCAGACTTGCACAAAGCCAGTTCCTGGCAGAGTTATGACAGGGATCAGCTCTCCGAATTCCCACTATACACTTGTTTCATCCCATAATCACACCTCCTCCCTTAGGAGAATCTTAAGTCAGGTACTTTAAGATGATACAAACACATCAACTAAAATCATGTTTCAAAGTATAGCAAAAGCAAAGCAAACAAAAACCTCTTTCTTCTTATAGACAGCAATGGAAATTCATTACATAAAATCAGACAAGCCCTTTTTGCTTTGCTGGATAGACTATTCTAGTTGTAAATTATAAATTAAAATCACCTGGAGAGGTCACTTTGATGCGTGTTCTCCTTGTTTATCACCAAATTCCAAAAATCCTCTTGAAAAAAGAAAAGGAAAAAAATGAAGTGTGAGTTAGATGAAAAGGAATGCCAGAATGATCACTAAGGTGTCTGAAAATGATTGGGCCACACTTTTCCCAGAGTCTAAAATTATAGTTTCAGAGTCATAAATGAATACCAGGCCCACGATACTCAGCTGTTCAGAGATTGGGTAGTGGGGAGCAGCTGCTAACATAAAAAATTGTGCTGCGGTTATAGTTTAGTGGAATAAGCAGGTACATTCAGATACTAATAATTTAAAAGAATAAAGAAAGAGAAGCTCTTATGAAGGTTCCTGCAAAGCATTATGAACCCCAGAGTAGGATTCCTGAATTTTCTAATATTTAGGTATCTGTGACATCTTCACATAGCCTGTTTTTGAAGTGGGCTTTAGAATATGTTTATATCAGCCAGGTGAACAGGTTGGACTTGAGGTTCTGGGGCCCATCATTATTGGCAGAATAGATCTTGAGGGGTATACAAGCATGGCCTGCTCTGAAATAACGGTCATGTGTGATTGGGACATTGGGTATTTGGCTTCACCAGTGGTGCTGTGATTGAAAGATATGCTGACACCAGGGAAGAACCTTTAGCATCACTGAGTACATTTGTTACATAGGCCATGGCAATTCTCATAAAGGTTTAAAGCTCAATAGTAGTAGAACCAAATTCATGGTTTTGTTAAATAACTTAGGTAGTAGGTAGCTATTAATCCTAGAGTGAGAAGAGACAGAATTGGTGAAATGAGCTATAAGTCTAATAGAAGGAGCCCATGAAAGAGATGATAGACTCAAGCAAGCAACTAGTCAGCTGAATTGAAGAAAGAATGGCGTAAGAAAAATATTTAGAAGGAGAATATTTAGCAATGGGATGAAGACAGTAACTGTCAAGAAAACGCAAAGAAGATGTAGAGGTTTTTTAATTCTGAGTGAATGGAGATGTGACAGAATAGGAACTTGAGAAACAGAGGAGGTTTATAAGTGAGATGATCGATTTGGATTTAGATCAATTGTATTTGAGGTATTGGTGGAAAACATAGGTGGAATTTTTTGAGTAACTAGCATTTCTCAAGAAAAAAATGCAATGCTTAGGTTTGCAATTCTAAATTCATAGTACTTTAGATTGTGTGTAATTTTCCCAACGTAGAAGCCCTGAAAAATCAGGCAGCCTGCATTTAGTGCCTTGAGAAGCAATAATGGTGTTTAACGGGCAGATGTATGAAGAAAAGTTAAAAAAAAAATGTGAATAGAATGACCAGATATAGGGAGAGAACAGTGGAACATACCATGACTGTAGTGAAGTAAAAACCCAGGGTAGAAATGGGGGAGTCACAAGAATTGGAGAATTCTCAGAGAATCAGAGGAATTAATATGTAGATTTTTCAGAATAACAGTGGGTAGAATGTAGTTCATAATTGTAAGGTAATCCAGAAGGCAAGTGAGGCGAGCGAGCTGGTTTGCTCACTCTCCTGAAAGAAAAGTACAGTATCTACCCTTTATTGTGTGCCTGTCACAGCGCTAAGGCATCATATCCAATGGGGGTAAATAAAGCAAGATTTCCTTCTTTGTGAGGTCCCACCATTTGTCATTATCCCAGTTTGATCAAATCCCAGTCAGTCCATTAAGGCCCAAATTGCACCTCGCCTTTACCATAAATACTCCCTTAAACCTTTCCCTGTGATGCTTGGTTGACATTTATTTTGCATGGGTTTTAATGATCCTTAAATTTGCTCATGTCTTACATAAGGACTGCAAATTTTTGAGAAGAATGGATTTATAGTCTAGATTTTTCCTCCACAAATTTAGACTCTACTTTTTACATATTAAGTCATTAAGAATTTTTTTTGGTCATTGATTTATTTTTAATTAATCAATTAATTAAAATGAGGTAATACTGGGATATCCCCATCAAGTCTTACCACTACAGTGCATCTACGACCGACTCACACAGATTCTACCATCACAGACCATTACGCCTCCTTTCCTCTCCCTTCTTCTTCTCCCCCTCCCCTCTAGGGATCTCAGTTCTCTGGTCAGCCATCAAGGGCTAGTTTTTAGCTGTCTCTGTCTGGAATATTTTATATTCCACATATTAGCAACATCATCCAATATTTATCTCTCCTTTTGACCAACTTCACTTAGCATTATTTATTTATTTTATTGCAGTAACTTTAATTTCCATCACTGTATGTGATGGTGTCTGTCCATCCTCGATTCCCTGCTATGTCTGTGGTTTTTGTGGTCTTCCCTAGAGCCGAGGGAGGATAGCTAGACTCGTTTGCGTGAACAGGGATAGCTGGGTCTCTGCACAAAGACTCCTCAATCAAATTAAATTAGATGGGTTTTAGGTTTGATCTCTAAGATTCCTGACTTAATGCAACAATTAGTTAGCTAATGCTTAAGTACTAAGTACAAGGTACTATGTATGCAATGAGCTGGATAGATCTGGTCACAGTATTTGAGACAGTGATATGCGATAACACTTTGATAAAGTAAAGTGAAAGAGAATAATTAACTAGAGGGTAAAAGAGACATTGTTCATAAATGTCACAGAATAGTTTTCTGAGAAGGGAATGGTTGAATGTCCTGCAGGACAAAGACACTAGAAAAGGAGAGGGTATTTTAGGTAGACGTCAAAGCAAGAACAGAGAACTTGAAATAGTTGTTAATTCCAGAAACCAAAATAATGTAATTGAGTCAGAATATAATGAAGGCAAGAGAAAACAGAAGATGAAGTGTCATTTCTGAACCCCGAACTGACAGCAATTTTTGAGCATTTAGTCAATTTACAAGATTGACAGAGGAAAAAACAACTATTTTTTATCTAGAAAATTCCCCAGGAAAGGTCTAAAAAACAATTTTTTGTTTCAACAACTTACAGTGCTATTGCATAATTAATAACATGAATTCAATTAATCTAATTGGAACCTTGTAAATAGTAGGTGTCAATCTTATTTGTCTATCAGTTTTCTCCTTTTTTATATTAACAACCTTGAGCATGCAAGAATTGCAAAAACAACCACAACAGGACAAATTACAAAAAGAAAAAGAGTTTCTAGGCCGTGCATGAGAAGGCTCCTGGCTATCCACATGATTATATGTTTTTTGTTTTTTTTTTATGCAGAACATATATTTTAAAATAACCCCTGATTACATCTTTATAGCAGTGATTCTTAATCTGTTATTGGCCAGAACCTTAGAAAATCTAATAAAATAAGTTTACCCATAGAATATAAGATTATCCATAAAAAATGAAGAGATTTACACCTCTATAGAGTCTGGATAAAATGGAAAGGCTATGTAGACCTTTAGGTTCAGCCACATAGCCCAGAGCAACTAATCAAGGGCTTTCAAATTTTATTGTACATCAGAATCATCTGGAAAGCTTATTATAATGCATGTCCTTAGCCTTGCCTCAGGAAAGTACAAGATGGTATATGGGAACCTGCTTTTTGTATAAAGTCTCCAGGGCATTCTGAAGCAAAGCAGGAGTAGTCCACACTTTGCCCAACTCTGCCTAATGGCCTGTGAAGGAGAGAATTAGTGAGCAAAAGGGCAGAGTAGAGGCTTGGAGATTGAAAGAACTTGGAAGTCAGAAGAGTAAATTTGATCCCAGAGAGCTGAAATTAGGTTATTTAATGAAGGGAGAATGAAGAACAGAACGACAGAAGTGTAAGATCAGAGTTGTGCTGACAGGAAGATGTGTTAGGAGTTGGCTACAGCCATTTGGAAGTAGGTTGAGAACTTCGGGAAGACTGTGTTGTGTCATCTACCACGAAGACCATTGTTCATGAACACAACAAATGTTCCTACAGAGAAGTTCTCAAACACTCCTCTGTTATTTCTGAAAGGATCAGCAGTTGTCTCTGCTAGGCCTGCCATGCACTCAAACTAGAAAATAAAGACAAGACACATCAAACCCAGCACTGATGAACATAATATCACTAGCCACCACCATTGCCAAAGAGTTACAGGGCCTGCATGGGGTGGGCTCTGCACTTCTTCAGCATCACCCATGAACCAACTGAGGCTTTCAGAGATGGGGCCCTTTGCCTGAGATCACCCAGCAAAGTAGCACGTGAATTAAGACCAGACCCTGGTGTTCTGTGCCCTGGCCTGGTGCACTCCCTACTAGGCCCTGAGACAAAATATATATATTTTACGGAAGCACTTAATGGGAATTTGCTCAACTCAAAGAATTCAGGGAAGTTCATTCAGCTACGAATATATCTCAAGGGAGGGCAAACTTTTTAATTAAAAATAATAGATTTGTGTGCACCATGATTGTGTGTCTCATTCTTTTTAATGCAGTGCAATTAACAAAAGGAACCGGACAAAAGCGAGATGTGTCCCAGTGCTTACGTGCTCCTCGTCATGGAGCGGAGGATGAACGCCACGGCATTCTCTATGATCTCTGTGCCCAGGAGATTGAGGAAGTTTGGTAACCCTGGCTCTGGTTTTTTGCCTGCATCCTCTGGCCCATCAGCTGGTTTGTCATCTGGAAAACAGCACAGATTTATCAGCAACAGGAAGGCAAGTCCTTTTCTTTGTACCTCTCCTCATTGTTTATGTAGCCTCTTGTATTTACTGAACACTTGATGCCTGCCCGGTGAAAGTCTCACATTCATTGCCTCACTTACTCCTCAAGAAAGAGAATAGATTGACGGTCACTGATACTTACGTAGACATTTTTTCCCTTTCTAGATGAGAAAACTGAAGCTCCTCAAAGGTAAGTAACTTGTCCAGAGCTAAGCTGCTCGTCCATGCTAGTTCCAGGATTGAACTGGTCTTAATGTCTCCCCATGTAATTATGGTAATGATAATAATGATGAGGATAATGGGTCACAATCACTGAGCACATACCTCCAACAGGTGATCTGCATACATTGTCACATATTGTTTGCTTAGCAACCCTAGGAAGTAGGCAACTTTTTAAAATCCCAATTTAAAGGTAAAGTAATAGAATCTGAAAGAAGTTTAGAAACTGGTTCAAAATCACAGTTAGTAAGTGGCAGAAACATAATTCAGTCCCATGTCAGTCTAGTATTAAAATCTGGATTCTTAAGTCCTCTGATGAATTGCACAGGCTAACAGAAAAACTGATTTAACCAATTGTGTTATAAAATCAAAAATAACAGGATAATAAAGATAAGGGTAAATCTTAGCATTTGTTCTTATTGGCTAATTCTGTAAATAATTATTTGACAAGTATTTTATAAATTTACTCATTCTTAGCAAGTATGAGGATGTTAGCTGACTGGTCTAAGACACCGACATGATTACTTGACTTGGAGAAGGCCTCAAGATACTAAGCAAAGACACAGGACAGTGATGTCAGGCCTCTTCCTGCTGGCTGAGAATCAAGTGTCCTTTAGATTGAAGGCCAAGGTTCCAGAAAGTGAGGCTGCTTGTATACAAAGTCCCTTGAAGGATTTTGGTTTTCTTCGTGGGCTCAATGTGTTAGTAGATTGAAAGGAAAGGGAGAGTGGCAGTTTCAGCAACATGTGGCCTCCCCCTCTGGATGGAGTAGGACCTTTGGGCTTTGTGCAGACTCACAGGTAGTTCTAGACTTGGTAAATGAAAATGCAGAATGCCCAATCAAAGTTAAATTTCAGATAAACAACAAATACTAGTATTTAAGGCATACTAAAACAAGACTTATTGTATCTCCAAAACTCAAATTCAGATTTTCTCTGATATTTAAAGTAGTGGCTGGCCTGTATTTTACCTGGGGACCCCACTATAAATTTTGACTCAAGATGACCCAGCTTGAAATATACCCCATGTTTTATGACTATCAAATTATGTCTTAAACCTTGCATCTATATTGCCTTCCGAAATAGAATCTCTTGGTTAAAAAAAAAAAAAAAGAGGAAAAGGTTTTTAATTCTGCAAACATTTATAGTTTGCTGTGTTACAATCAAAGATTGGATAGGGGCACCAGTCTGGGTGCCCCTAGAACCAAAATCTATGTACTGCTCATGAGGATTCATTCATTCAATTGTGGGTTCTTCTTGGGCCTACTCTCGTGGATATGGCCTGTGTTAAGAGTTAAGACGGAAAAGCACACGTGTGGGTGAGACCCTCACATCACTGCAGGGAAACCGCAGAGCTCGGCAGCGCTTTATTTCCTCACAGAGGAGGTTGTGGCGTGCCGACTGTGTAGGTTCCAGACCAGTGCTTTCATCAGTTGCTTTAATCCTCACTTAGCTCAGTGACGGTCTCATAGTTTTATAGCACAGAAAACAGATGTTTAGCAAAGTTAAATGACTTACTTAAAATCACAAATCCAGAAAGTGACTGAGTTGACGTTTCAACCTAGTTATTTTCAATTCCACTGGCCACATTATTTACATAAATTCACACTGCCTTCAAGCACTTGTTCTCTGAAGACATTTACCAGGTGCAAAACAGCAATTTCTTGCATGAAAACTTCTTTTGTTCTTGCTGCTATCTGCCTACTTGCATAACAATTTCATTTTATCGACTTTATATTCAAACAGCACTAGATGTTAGCTTTTCAGTATGCATGGAGGTTGGGATTAGACGATGTGAATATCGGATCCTTGCCTCAGCCCTCAGACAGCATAGCATGGAGAGGCACTGGAGTGTGGTGGGTCATATTTAGGAGTCCTGCATGCCTGTCGGCAAAAAGAAATCAGCTCTGTAATGTTGGAAGGTGTACTTAACTACTCTGTCTCTCACTTCCACAGTGTGTTATTGTCAGAATTTAAAAGTATTTTGTATATCATTCATATATATCCTATACGTATATATTCATCTTTATCTCATATATATATATATTCATCTTTATCTCATATATATATATGTACATATACCTATATGTACATACTACAATGCCAGGCCCAAAGTAAGCCCACAGTTAGTTCTGTTTTATTTTACCAATAATAATATTACTGTATTATATGTACGTATATATACATACTAGAAACAAAGTAGCAAATCTAACAGCTGAATATTTTCTCTATCCAAATATAACATAGTATAGCCTTTATTTACACTAACTGCCTGGGTGAGTTTCCTTGTCAGTGCAATCACAAATTCTGAAAAAATAGAGGGCTGCTGATGTATTTAAATTTTCATAATATACAAAGTGTTTCCAAAAGCATGTTCATTGTTCTGTCTGGTGAGTTGATGCTTATTCTTTTTACACATGAAGAAACAGGTTCCGTGCAGTAAATGAACCAGCTATTTATTTCAGCATCCATGACAGAGAGAGCAGGGCTGGTCTTTAGGATGCGTCCCACCTTCCACGGCACTACGATAATTACTTTAGGTTTAGTCTGAGGCTGTCTCTACACACATGCTTTTGGATTGCTACCTGTGTGTTGTGCTGGTGGAATACAAATGGCTGAAAGCTAGGTGTTCTGCCAAGTTACATTTGGAAAAGTTCAACTTTTACTAAATATTTACCAAGTTTTTGCACTTGTCTGTATTTTCTGACTTGCCACTCTGAATAGAGACAAGTTAAGCGCTCACTATCTCCTGAAGCCAGAGTAATTAATGACAATGCTGCATGCTGTCTCGTGGCCCATGTATGCTTGGGACAGACTTGAGGAAGCACATGTTTAATTATAATGGAAGAATCTAGAGAATCAGTCCATCTGTACCCAAGTTCAAGTAACTTTCCTTCTACAAGTTTGTTTTATTAACCATAAAAGGATTTTTTATGAGAATCAAATGAACTGATAACATGTGATAACAGTAAGTGCATATATATCGGGTTCTTATTATGCTTTTCTAATTTCTTTTGTCTCTTGTTTAATTTTCATGATAACTTTAAGAGAACTATATAACTATTGCTACTCACTTTTGTGTGTGAAGCTCAGAGAGGATAAATAACATACCTGAAGTCACATTTCTGATTTACCATGGAGCCAGGCTAGGAATCTTATTCCAGGGTATATACTCTTCACCTTTGAACATGATTACTTAAAATCATCCAAAAAAAAAAAAAAATCCCCCCACCAGATTCTCAAGGAATTTTTAATATAATAGTGTTACTATATCATGTCATATATAAAAAAATCATTCCAAACTTCAGTCAATGAAGATAGAGGCTGTAACTGAAAGAAGCACAATTTAAAAAAAATTCTGCTTTCTTGTTTAGGAGATGTTTTCTCCCAGTCCTCTGTTCTTTCTGCAGTGCCCAAAGCACCCCCTTCCCTTTATTTTTTGGTTTAGTGCCACTAACTTCCTCCAATCGCAGCTCACTATTGCACAGGCGAACCAAAAACAGAAGTACTTACCGGCGTGGCAAGTCAGGATTAAGATAAGCAGTCCAAAGACAATTGTCAAGCGAAGTACTGAGACAGCCATGTTGTAGCACTGGGTATTGGTGTAGATAAATTGTTCAGATGCACCCGAAGCCTTGCTCCATTTATAGGTCATTTATAGATGACATCACCTGCTATGGAATTCAGGTTGTTGCACAAGGTGGCTCGCTCCTGGATCTCTAATAACGAGCCCTGCCCTAGCTGTCAAACCTAAAGTTTTTCATACAGGGAAAGAAAAACCTTCATTTTGCTAATGTGTATTTATAAATGGCACTGGAATAACCCTTTTGGAAGTAGTTCCAGTGTTAGTGTTGTTAACTGGAAAGGCATCAGGCAGAATTACTGTTGGGTGCCAAGGAGTCACGCAATAAATCAGATTGGCGAGGTGTGCCTGCCCCCTCCCTGTCCTGTGCCTTTCCCCACCCTCTAGCTAATTACCATTCCCACCTGGCCATGCCCTTTCTTACCCCCGTGCCTTGCTCTTTCTTTATCCTGGGATATGCTCCATATCATCTCCCCTTGGAGCAGCCATCCCTATTTTGTGGGCTCAGGTTCAGATGCCCTTTTCTCTGGACAGTCCCCATGAAGACCACTTCACTCTGCTCCAGAAGTTTCCCTTGCCCTATTGTTTGAGGACTGAGGACTTTGATAGCTGTCTTCTACTTTCTATCTTAAGAGCAGAGCATTCACTTCTGAATCCACAAGGAAGCTTATATAGTATTGACCTTGGCCTCAGCTTTGACTTTAGCTCTCAGGAAGCTTACTTTGATTCTTCCAGGCAGATCTAAGGGCTCTGTGCCTGTCAGGTGCCTGTTCAGATATTGTTTGCAGTAGGTTGTAGGCTCCCAAGGGTGAGATATCTTTTTCATAGTTGAATACATACTACCCAAGACAGAGCAAACATTTAAAAAGAAAAAGCAATTAAATTATTTGCACCCAGTGAAAGACAACATTGGTTTTGAGGTGTTGCTGTGTCTTTCCGAAATAAAATACTGTTCCTTTTGGATACACTCAAGGGAATACAATTTGGTTCAGATCTATTATAGATGAGACGGGTTATCCTCAGAATGTTATGTGTTCATTTAGTTGGAATGTGTATTCATGGTACCCTAAACTTATACATTGACCAAAACTTATCTATAGAAAGCACCCAACAAATAAAGATAAAATGTCTGATAACTATAAATATATTTAATGTATGCCATATTGGTATTAATTAAGAAGCTGCCACTTATCCTCCATTAGCATAAACAAATGAATTTTACTTTAGGTAGAGGAGAATCTGAGATGATGAAAGAGGTTTTTACCCACGCTAGAAAGAGGAAGATGAAGCCCTTTGGCAAGAATGCTACTCTAGCTTGATAAGAAAGAATGAGAATGAAAGGAATAGGATATGTTTTAATTCCAGTGGACATTTCCTTGCACAACTATATCAGTGTTCTTTCTCTGGGTAGGAAAGAATTGAAATTTGGATTAGCAATCTCATACAGAGATTTTACTGTGTTAGAAGCATGAGTTCTTGAATCAGACACAACTGAGTTGTGTTTCATATATGCCATTATAAGCTGTGTGACCTGTGACTTTAGAAATATGTCTAGTTTCTATACGCCATGATTCAATATCTACAAAATGGAATGGTGATGCCTCTTGGAGTTGTTTTGAGAGTGGATGAAAAAATACGTGCCCAAAGTACAGTGCCTTTTACATACTATGTGAAAATAAGTGATAGAATTGTGCTTGTAGTCAGTGCTAACCCCGTTTTATTCAACTCAGTTTACCTTTGATTGTCCCAGAGGAGGAATGACAGTTAGCCATGAAAGAAATAGAAGCATTAGAAATAATAATGATGATGATAATAATAATATGCTAACGTTGCTCACTCTGACCGTGTATTAAACAAGATTCATATCAAGAAAGCTATTGGGAGGCTACCACTATTATCCTCATTTTATATACGGAAATTCAAGCTTACAGAAGTTATGCAATTTGCCCAAGGTCACAAATCATGTATGAGACAGAGCAAGGAATCAAACTTAAGGACACATAATTTTAAAGTTCCTCTTCTTAATTACATTATGTTCAACTAGCATGAGCTCAGTGCTGCTGCCAGCAAAAAATCCTTGAAGAACACATACTCACCTGTGGCTGCTCTGTTTTTTTCTTATTAGTCTGGGTTTCCCATTGTTCTTTGAGTGCAGGTCTGATCCACATTATTCACCTCTGTCATAGCTCAATGTGGTATATCAAGCATGCAGGGTACACGTGCCTTCTTACTACTGGACAGAAAATGAACTGGACATAGGGCTGGGGAATAAAATGCAGGGTACCCAGTTAAGTTTGAACTTAGATAAATAGTAATTTTTTTTTTTAAGATTTACTTTATTTTTGCATACAGAACTGGGGTACAGGCCAGAGGCTCAGGGGCAGTGAGAGGCTTCACCAGAGACAGAGTGGGGAACAGAACAGGCAGATCGACGAAGTACACTGCTGAGGGGAGCAGCGGGCGGGTCAGAGAGGTCTGCCACGCCATGTGGTCACCTCCAGGGCAGGCGGGACTCGAACTCATGCAGAAGCGGCTTTAGAGTCTCAGTGCTGTGCTTTAACCCGCTGCGCCACCAGGGAGGGCCGATAAATAGTAATTTTTTAGAATAACTGTATCACAGACATAGTTTATGCTAAAAATTTTTGTTGCTTAAATTTAGATTTTACATGTAATCCTCCACTTTTATTTGCTGGATCTGACAACCCTACCTAGAGAGGCCCTCATGAGTATTTTCCTGTATTAAACTTCAGGTTAGAGAGAAAAGCAAGAGTTAAGTGGTCAATAAAGGGTAGTATGTGAGAAATTCAATCGTACGTGGCAAGAGGAAATTATTGAATAGTGCTAGTTCCTCCAGTTTTTCAAGATATTATTTATTTGTTGTACTACATCTTGTTAATATTTTGACACTTTCATATCTAGGACAAGTCCCTCCACCCCCATCCCCATATGCTTTATAAGGAAATCATAAGCTCCTCTCTTGGTTCTTTCCAACTAATGTTTCAAAGTAGCTCTAAAGGTGTATTGTATGTGGCTTCAGGTTTGGCTGCCGTCCTGTATGGGAGGAGCATCTGTACACTGAGTGTGAATTTACTGAGGAGTGCTCATACTCTGTCTCCTAATCACTTTTCTACGCAGAATTTAGACTTGGGTAATCCTCATGCCACACATCAGTATATTAATTTCTTATTAATTTATTGAACTTGTGCCAGTTGCATAGTGCTGGGGACAGGAACACCTTGACCATGCTTTAGTTGAGGAAGCAAATATGTAATCAATAATTAAAATTTAAATATTAGAAATGCTATTGGAGTTATGAAAGATTCCTATGGGAGATTGTCAGGGGTGGTTAACATTGCCTGGGCAAGTGGTCATGGAGGTGATTGATTGTTTGTGGCCTTGAAAAGTAGATGTGTAGGTGTCTGCAAGCAGATGTGGAGAAGGCACCTTACATGGGAGGACAGACATCTGCAAAGACACAGAGGCTTGAAAGAGCACAGCATATTTCTAGGAACAAATCCTACAATTCTCAAGTTTTGATATTAAAAGTAAAAATTAAAGTGAACTGAATTTCAAAATTAATTTTAATTAATGGACATGCTAAGAAGACATAGTGGAGAGAGAAAGACAAAGGGAGGAGAGAACAGAGAACATTGAAAGGGAGTCAGAAATTGCAAATCAGTAGGTATTAATGCTCAGAACTGGATTTTCTTTGTTCTTTTCCTGTTACAATTTCAGATAAGCACATTGCTATCCATCCAATTATCAGTCCTTCCGATAAAGAAAGATGCAAATTTCCTTTAACTCTTTTTTTTTTATTACAGAACCTAAGCTCACAAAGTTGTATCCACTAAAATAGTCTCCACATTTATCCAGTTCTCATTTCCACAATAAGTATCTTAGATTGTGATTTTGTCTTGACCGTTGCACTAATAATCTAGTCGTCTTGGTATATGCCTCCCTCATCTCCTCAAAACTGCTATCGTTTTTATCTTTCTAAGCAAACCTATGTTTACATGTTTGGTCATTTCTCTAATAAGTTCCATGGCTCTCTTTTACATATAGATAAAACCCTTCATGTTGTATTCTTACGCAGTAGTTCCAGCATCATCTAGGTCATGCTATAGAATGATTCTTAGAGTGCAAGGTCTATAGACAGATGGCCTGCATTCCATCTCTGACTTCATCAAGGTTAATGTTTACCTGGGCATGTACCAGAATGCTCACATTACATATAGCCAGTCTGCTATGAAACACTGGTATCTGCACCCGCTTCGCTGTATGATACACATCCTCCCAGTGCTTAATAGCACCACTTGGCAATTTGTTAATACTAGCTAGACTTCAGTTGTCCATCTTCAATATGAAGGTAACAAGAGGATCAACCTTAATACGGTTTTAATATGAGCACTGAAAAGATGCACAATGCATTTCAAAGGTCATTATTTACATTTGTTCCCCATCACTCTCATAGCATGTAAGTTCCCTTCTTACCTTATACTTATCAAGTATATCTCTAGACTTTTCCATATTCTATCATCCCGCTAGTTTTGTTTGGAATATCCAACCCTTACCAACTCATCCTTCATACATTGCATCCATGAGAAAAACATTGTGACCACATCCCTGACCTAATCCATAGCAGAATTAATCACTTCTGTTGTGGGCTCAGTCTGCTTAATGACACCTTCAGTAAGCCTCAGCATGGAACAGGCCTTTATTTATCCTCAGATACCCTCTGCCTGTAACCATGACTGTCAAGTAGACAATACTCAATAAATGCAGTGTTCACTTGGTTGAAGGAGCAGTTGGGGCCAGTGGTGATGATTCCAAAGTCTTACGGAAATAAGCCAAAGCTCAGCTCAAGGGAGCAGGTATAAACAAGCAAGGCAGTTAAGAGTCCAGTGACTTTTGTTTTTCTAGCAGTTGAAGTTTGGGGGAGGGTGGAGGCAACATTCCAGAAGAGGCACTGACTCATGCCTTACTTGGTGCCTGCAGTGGGATGAGGGGGACTCAA